AGAAAATGTACCAATGTATGAATTGAACCTAGTGATTCATTTTTATTTATCACATCTTGTGTATATCTTTGGAAATTTGATTAAACTTGTTGTATGTTCTGTTTATTTTTATTTGTTTTTAATAATGTTATTATTCTTAATTATTAAATATTCATGATTGATTATATATTGATATAATTATATTGATGATATATTATATTGATTATTGCTTTGCTCTATACCGATAATATGCAACAGTAACAAATAGATTCTTATACTAAGTAATATGAAGTTTATTTTGCATAACGCACAAAACATGACATAATGTATAGTTTTGAAGTTTTCCCCATAACTACTAATGCCATCTGTTATTAAGTAGTAAAACTTTTGTATTAAGAAGCAGTTTCTCCCAAACTCAACACTGTTGCCGTTGTACAACGCGAGTCCTTTATGGGTTAAATTAAGGATATTGGGTAGAATTTTTGAAATCTTTTTACCCTTATTATTGTTTTGAAAATTAAGTGCAATACTTGAAAAAACTGTTTCATTAAAAAGAACAGTTAAAAAACTTTTTACTTTTAGAATTTGCTTATTTTTTATTTAATGATATTAGTTTTAATCCTTAAATAATATTTGTTCAAGTTGTGTAGTATTTTCCATTAAATGGTCACTACTCGACTTCGATGTCTTCTCAATACTAATTTTATGTTACCGTAAATATATGGATGTTCTATTCAGTAGTTGTGAGTATAATATACTGGATGTTCATGTTGTTTTATTTTACATTTAACACATTTTAGGTACGATAAAAGAACAGAGATAGAGGACCGAGAAACAAGTATAGAAATTACAAAGGAAGAAATATTGTATGCACCAAAGAACACCAGAAACGGAAAAGAGGCGTAGTTAAAAATTAGTAGATTTCGTAAAATATAGACTCCATAACGAGTCGAACAACAATGTAACACGCCTGATACACCTTGCAGCTTTAATGTATATAGCTATAGCCACCACAAGCTTTGAGCGTAAAAATATACACAAAGGCACTTGGTTAGCCCAGACGGTAACACGATCAATCAAATTGACCATGTGGTTGTGGACGCAAGACATTACAGCGATGTTATGAATGTACGTACCAGACGTGGACTCCGATACTACCTGGTCCAGGCTAAACTAAGGGCACCAATCTCTAACGCAAAAAGAGGGTAAAGGAAGCAAAGAAGATAAATTCGAGGTGGACAGACTACGAAACCCTGAGATAGTTAGAAAATTTGAACACAAACTTAAAGAAAAACTAGAAGATAAATGAGTAGTACTGTTGAAAACATAGATAATTACTGGAATGAGTGCGAAAATATGAGTAGCGGCCTAACAGCTCTTCGTTGTTTTTTACCATAGTCCATGTCTCTGACGCTTATGTCAGGACAGGTTTAATAAGAGTTTCATATATTAGTATCTTAATTTTTCTGCTAATTATGTGTGATGTTAAGAACTGCTTTAGTCCAAAGTAAGCTCTGTTCGCCAGGTATATTCTTCTCTTAATTTCTATGCTTACTAGGTTGTTGTTATTTAGTTGTGTTCCAAGATGTATAAACTCCGAGACCCCTTGTGTGTGCTTCTGTCACCAGATCGTATGGTGCCGCTATTTGTGTGCTGTTCGTGACCTTCATGTATTTTGTTTTGGATACGTTGACCTGCAGTCCCATTGTCTTCGCTGCTTTTTCTAATGTTTCAAAAGCCTCTATTAGGTCTCTTTTTGTCCTATGTACTATGTCAACCTTCGAATTATAACAAATCTATATTATAAATAGCAGGCACACATATGCATTGATGAACACACATAAGAGTTCGAAATTAAAAGAGGAGTGCGTCTGACAATTAACGGTAAAACTGTAGAACAAGTTGAAAACTACAATTATCTTGGCACAATAATTAATCACACAAACGATTACTCCAAAGAAATCAAAGTTCGAATAGAGAAAGCACGAACAGACTTCAATAAAATGAGAAAGGTATTTTGTCCAGGCTAAACTAAGGGCACCAATCTCTAACGCAAAAAGAGGGTAAAGGAAGCAAAGAAGATAAATTGGAGGTGGACAGACTACGAAACCCTGAGATAGTTAGAAAATTTGAACACAAACTTAAAGAAAAACTAGAAGATAAATGAGTAGTACTGTTGAAAACATAGATAATTACTGGAATGAGTGCGAAAATATGAGTAGCGGCCTAACAGCTCTTCGTTGTTTTTTACCATAGTCCATGTCTCTGACGCTTATGTCAGGAAAGGTTTAATAAGAGTTTCATATATTAGTATCTTAATTTTTCTGCTAATTATGTGTGATGTTAAGAACTGCTTTAGTCCAAAGTAAGCTCTGTTCGCCAGGTATATTCTTCTCTTAATTTCTATGCTTACTAGGTTGTTGTTATTTAGTTGTGTTCCAAGATGTATAAACTCCGAGACCCCTTGTGTGTGCTTCTGTCACCAGATCGTATGGTGCCGCTATTTGTGTGCTGTTCGTGACCTTCATGTATTTTGTTTTGGATACGTTGACCTGCAGTCCCATTGTCTTCGCTGCTTTTTCTAATGTTTCAAAAGCCTCTATTAGGTCTCTTTTTGTCCTATGTACTATGTCAACCTTCGAATTATAACAAATCTATATTATAAATAGCAGGCACACATATGCATTGATGAACACACATAAGAGTTCGAAATTAAAAGAGGAGTGCGTCTGACAATTAACGGTTAAACTGTAGAACAAGTTGAAAACTACAATTATCTTGGCACAATAATTAATCACACAAACGATTACTCCAAAGAAATCAAAGTTCGAATAGAGAAAGCACGAACAGACTTCAATAAAATGAGAAAGGTATTTTGTGCAAGAAAACTGAAATTAGACTTGAGAGTTAGGCTGGCCAGATGTTATATTTTCTCGACTCTGCTTTACGGTATAGAAGCATGGACACTTAACGCGTCGAAGCATTTGAACTGTGGATGTATGGAAGAATTCTGAAGATATCATGGACCGAGCATGTAACAAACAACGAAGTCATGAGAAGAGTCAACAAAAAAATGGAAATATTGGAAACTATCAAGACACGAAAGCTGCAATACCTGGGGCATGTTATGCGTAATAAGAGATACAACATACTTCAATTAATTATACAAGGGAAAATCCAGTGCAAGAGAAGAGTAGGAAAGAGAAGAATCTCATGGTTGTGTAACTTGAGCGCGGACGTACGGATGCACGTCAATCGAACTATTCAGAGCGGCAGCATCTAAGATCAGAATAGCCATGATTATTGCCAACCTCAGTCGCGGAGATGTAACGTAAAGAAGAAGAAGGTAGGATAAAGTAAATATGGAATCGTCCCAGGTAAGCGCACAAGAGAACACATTCCTAATATAAGTAATATAAAAAAATCCCGAGAATTTAATATAGAAACATATTTGTGCTTTGCTTACTAATCCAAGGCCTTCGATAATATAAAATGTGGCATATAGGCACCTGAAAAAATGGGTACGCCAGAACTTCTTATCGATTTATTACGAAAACTGATTTATAGTACCGTCAATGTAAGAGTTAATAGTAGTAATACAAATAGTCTAATAACGTACATTCGAAAAATTTCAAATTGAAATCTGTAGTTTGACAGGCATGTATAATATTCCCCATTCTATTCAATATATACACTGAAAACATTATGCGTTAAGTTTTCGAGGAACGGCAAGGTGGAGCAACAGTAGAAAGACGAAAAATCACCAAACACGGCATGGTACGAAGTGGTCAGACAATTTAATTAACTAAGCTCCTTCATCAACAACAGTGGAGGGTGCGAAAAGGAGATCCGTCGACGCGTTACAATGGCCAGATTGGCAACAGCCAAACTCACAAAGTAGTGAAAGAACAATGACATACGTCTACTGTAGAGTGTTGATCATACCATGTACCGCTTATCGCATAAATAATTTAATACTAGAATAAACTAACATAGAACCTAGTGTCACCTAAACTATCAATCAAAATACACTAAGATATTTTGGACATATAACTAGAAGAAAAGACATGGAACGAATAATAGTTGAAGGTAACGTAGTCTACTTATTTTGTGGAGCACTGTATTACTGGAGCAGCTTCTAGACCATACAGAATGCTCCACTTCTTTTCTGAGTTGCTTCAATGGAATAAAATAACCTCAGTTTCCTGTGAGTCTCCTTAGTGACCAAATAACCGTTACCACGTGTTATTATATGACAATTCAGGCAGAGTTTTAAGTGATGGATCCTAGCTACCGAGAATTGAAAATCGATAGATTTTATAACTTTCTCTTGTGGTTATCATCACCAAAATTTCGTAGGAGCTTATCTAAAGAGGAGAAAAACAGGTTTGTAGAAATA